TCATTTATTTATTAATTGTTGGGTTATTTTTTTACTATTACTACGGTTGGGGGTTGGAACCTTTGGTGATACAATAGCAAAATAATACTGAAGTTGACTTAGTTTTAATCATCTGCTGGTGATGCTAACATAGTCACGCGCGTCCAGTGCAAAAGTAAATACAAATCTTGATGTATGTTTTTTACTTATGAATTAGTGTTTTATTTTGCTCTTTTTTGTAGGTTTATTACATCACCTTTGGCGATATTTATGAATATATAGGTACATAATAATAAATATGTTTTTATTAATTTAGAAGCCAGAGATAGAAGTAGAAATTTATAGAATCCTGACTAAATTTAATTAAAAGTTGACCATATTGCGATTTGCATTAGCTATGTAATTGTAACAGTTGCCCACCTTTTACTTAATTGCAAATCATTTCATTCGCTAGCACCATTAAAAAAATAAAACCCTCAATTCCAAATTGTTAAGATTTTTTAATATATTTTTTTGGCTGTGATTTAGAACTCTAATCCGAGCCATTGTTGTAGATTTTTTTATCTTACAAACCCACATAATATGTCTTTCTATGAAGTCTGCTATATCAATGAAACTTAAAATTACTATTATCCCATCCCTAACGAAATTTTTGGAATATATTCAGCACTACAAGAGTTCTCTAGCCAAAGATTTTCTTATTAGTTCTAAAATCGCTCATTCTTTTACAGACAATAATTTAATTCTCAATCTCTCATCATAATATTCAATAATAAAAGAAAGTGCCACATGAAGTTGGCAGCATTAAGTGGAAGTATCAAGAACTCGAAAATGTAAATCTATAACTTTGAAGTGTCTTTTCAGCAGAGAGGCTGCTCACAATTTCTCTAGAGTATTATCGCAAAAAAATTAACCCAAAAATGTTTAACAGAGATACTTGCCTGCCAATTGATTCAAATTTATATTATATTTTCTATCAATTTCTGAGTGCCGCCTATCTTCGTTCTCACATAATTTATATTTCTCTAAGTCTCTTTTTCTTATTACAGTGTCTTCGTCTCTTGCACTCTCCTTTCTGAATGCGAAGACAGTTAATCTTTGCCATAAGATATTTAAACTAGCGAATGTGTATTGAATATCCTGTATATCCCCGGATTATCCCCAGATATCAGAAGAGGGCAATGACTAAAGAATCCAAGGACAAATAACACCCGAAAGCAAATTGTGACGATGTCACCACACAGTATCGTGGCACATATTTTTCTTAACCCAGCTGTTTGAAGAGATATTTATATTTTTTGATAAATGTTTTGACTACGCCTATGGTGTATATGGTGGTATCATACTAATTAATTACGAAAAAAACGTATTAAAATGTTAACAAAAGGTACAAAACTAGTATCGACGTATAGCACACATCAAAATATCAGAAAAATAATTATCGAATTCAATAAGAAAACTAAGAAAACGCTAAAAAGATGGAGCGGACTGTTTATTTACCTATGAATCGTAACTACTGGCTCGTTCTTATCGCTGCTGCTTTTACGCTTGAAAGCTGAACAACTAATCACCATTGTAATAAAGTTTATACAAAGTTCACTACACACACACTATTAAAAATCGCTAAAATTGTCGCTGCATGGTGACCAGATGATGACTCATTCTTTGCCATCAAAAGAATGGCGTCTAAGCTCACAAATTCTGCTGCAGCCCGTATATGGGCGTTACATGTCCTTATATTCTTTAGTCATTGGAAGAGGGCCACAATAGATCTGAAAAGGTCGCAATGGAATAGACTACAGCCACCTGTGAAATCTAATCTACTTATAGAACATATTCTAAATTAATATGAAGATGTTTTTTTTTCTTATTTTACGTCAATCATGATATAGGTGCGTTCGCAATAAATCGTTCGTGATACATTCGGAGGCAATTTGAGGCAATTCAGAGCAATTTTACTCGGTTGTGCGTGCGTGAAAGAGATATTGCTCGGTGCGTCTCCACTGTTGTGCCTCTTATAGTGGATACGCGGAAAGGTGCTCGTCCCATTTATAGAAATACGACTTGATGCGAGATAATTGGCAGCGCTTATAAACGGTCGATTAGAATCGAATCTGATTAGAATAAGATATCGATTGGCCACTTCCTGATTCCTCCCATCGTCGGCAACGGACGGTGCTGCTACGCGAAACTTATTACGCTTTCTTTTTTGCTTGCCAGCGCCGCGCCGCCGTTTTGTTTTTACCGCTACGCACGTACGATCTTTCTAACGTTTAAGGACGTTCTAGCCGCATGGGAAAGTGATTGGAAAAGTCATTAGCATGGAAATAATCTCCGGGAACGTTCTTTAATAATGATTCCTGGAGGAAAACGCGTTCGGTATGAAAATTCCAGAATAGTTGGTGAGAGCTCGACAAATAATAATCCTATAAATAAATAATCGAGATGCTACGAATATTCGGCTACTGTTCGGTATTCGGCTACTGTTATTCATATGCAACATTTGGCCGAATATTCTTACTATCCGGTCAAATAACGTACAGTGCACAGATAAGGTGCGCACCATATTGAACTTTTAATTAGTATGATCAAAAAAAAAGCGTCCAGTTCACTTGGGAATGAATATCGATAACATTCCCTATATAATTTTACATATAAAATGACAGCGATCTTCATTTCTTTCTCGGTTTTTTTCCGATCTTACGTCGATAGTTTTTGCTTTGATTTATATTAAAAATTACATAAGAAAATGTACGCTGTTATTCACGGGTATCTGTCAAATCCGACATTTAAAGTAATAAGTGGTAGTAATTTTGATGTTAATATGAAGGAAAATTTATGATTAATATAAAAAAATAAAATGTTCCCAAATTTATCACTTCAGTCGAATAACTATCTACTCAAGATACTTATTTTTTGTCAATAATGACATGTATTATTTTCATTCATTCTAAATATCTTGAGAACGGTTGTTCATAGCGATTTTTACCAAGAGACATTTTTTTACGTAAAAAATCACAAAACTGTATATTTTTTCACCCAATAGTTTTATGCTGGTATACGGACGAAAAGTTATTTCTCCTCAAAACAGTAAAAACACATGTAGGTGGCGCCCCCTACAAATAAGAGTCATATTATCATCAAAATCAAATTTCTCCTGTCAAAAACTCCCAGACCCCTAATCCCGTTTATACTTTTCCAAATTTCCATACCGTTTTAGAGAAAATTAAAAAACGTATGAAAATATGGTTGATTTTCTAAAATCGATCCTAAAGTCGAGTCCTAAAAATTAAAACGCGTTTCTGTGGTAATGTAGGTACCTATAACATACGGTGGCATACTGTAGATGGCTAAAAATTCGTAAGCTTATATAAAATTAAAAAACAAACAACTTTTTCAAAGAAAAATTTTCGAAATTCCACCAGAAAACCCATTTTTAGCCATTTGTTATTTAAAACGTCAAATTTGAAAAATTTTAAATCAAAATTCAAGAAAACTCTTGCAGTTTCTTGTTTTTTCCGTGTCCTATCCAGTTCAGCTTTGTTAAATTGCGTTTTTATCAAAACAAATATCAAGTTCCGCGTATATATCATCTTCGGCGGCCGACATTATTCAACCCGGACATTAAAAGGGACATCTTGCGGCAAGTACAGTAATTAAGGGCAATTACCGACGTAACTGTGCTTGGATAATTACTAATTACGATCTGATGCGAAGATGGACTTACAAATACACTGATATCAAACAATAATAGGCACTTATTATGGTTGTTGGAATGCCGCGGCCGGTTTGCTCTTCGGGAGTTTTGCCAATGCCCACAAAAGCGGAGGTGTTCAGTTCTAACACCAAGCGCATTTCTATACAGTGTCGACAAAATCATCGAACGATAACGAAACATTTTTATTTTATCCAAATCATTTCTGAAGTAAAGTCAATAATTGGATGAAAATTGGTGTCTGGGAGTTTTTTGACATGAGAAATTTAATTTTGATGTCAATATGACTCCTATTTGTAGTGGGCGCCACCTCCATGTGTTTTAACTGTTATGAAGAGTAATAATTTTTCGTCCGTACCTGTATAAACTACCGAGTGAAAAAATATAAATTTCCGTAACTTTTTACGTAAAAAATGTCTCTTGGTAAAAATCGCTACGAGCAACCGTTCTCAAGATATTTAGAATTGAAATAGTCAATACATGTCATTATTGACAAAAAATTAACACGTTGAGTAGATAGTTATTTGACTGAAATAATAAATTCGAATTTTTTTTTTTAATTAATCATAATTTTTTTATGCAAAAATGATGATAAAACAGTTTCTGTTGAACTTTTGACACAAAAGCATTTCAAATTTACGATTTCAGTTTATTAGTAAATATTTAGTCAACATGTTTATGTCCAACATGACAGGTATTGATAATTCCGATTAAAAATATTTCGAGAGCCATTACTCGTAGCGATTTTTACGAAGAGGCCTTTTCTACGTAAAAAACGTCGTAAATGTATATTTTTACTCAGTAGTTTTATACAAGGTACAGACGCAAAATTATTACTCTTCAAACCAGTTAAAAAATATGTAGGTGGCGCCCTCTACGAGTATAGGAGTCATATTGGCTTCAAAATCAAATTTCTCATGCCAAAAAACTACCAGACACCAATTTTCATCCAAATAGTGACGTTACTTCATAAATTATGTGGAAAAAATTGAAATAAAAATGAAACTTCTACACCCTATATCTCCAAAACTAAGCATTTTAGGACATACATTTATACGAACTTTTTTACTTATTTTTATCTGCAGAATATGCTGCCAAAGTTTCCGAAATACAGTTCGGACCACCCTGTATAATGAAATAACGAATTTTAGTGACGCCTACACACATAAATTTCATTTTTAATTTGTTAGTAATATCTGCAGAATCCAAAATCTAATAATCCATACATTTTTTTTTTAATAAAATACCAAAATTAACCGAAGACATTATAGTATCTAGTATCTACAAAAAAGAATTATAAACTCACCTTGTTCAGCGTTGATCCAGCTGATCAATATTGCCAGAAAAGGCAACGTGTGCAGCACGAATCCCATTTTGCTGGTAGTCAGCCCGTTTCAGCGGGCCGAATTTAGTACTGACTACTTCATTCTGAAAACGAAAGAAAAAACACATTAAAATCTGCTCTTTGAGGCAAAAATGCTAAAGAAATTATAGTAGAATATACAACTCAGAGATACTATATCTACACTGACAACTGAGATGTATTATTGGCGACGAATGCTCAGAATTCGCTGGACTGCCCGGCGAACCAATGAATCCATAATCCAAGAACTGAACATCACAGAACGCCTCTCAACTTCTATACAGTTACGTATACTTAAATATTTTGGTCACGTTATGAGGAGGGATACTGACTGTATGGAAAAACTGATTATACAGGGTAAGGTTACAGGAAAAAGACCAAGAGGCCGCTCGCCCTCCCAATGGATAGACCAGCTATCAAAGATCACCCACAAGCACACGCTTGTACATGAAGCACAAGACAGGGAATTATGGACACAAACATCACACATCACCTGACCACTACATTCCTCTTGTAGGAATAAAGACAGAGAGAGAGAGAGCGAGATACAACTCAGAAACTTATAAATATATTTTTAAATAACCCTTTTGTTTTTATGACAGAGTATATTAAGTTATTAAATGATATCACCATGTCAATGTCATGTAAAATGTATGAGAGGGCTACAACCTAACCGAGACTTTACATATCTATTGTGTTCTCCATTTCTTGAATTATAACTCATCATATAGTCCCAGGTCAGTCTCTGAGACGGTTTTATAGAGGTTAGTTCTCCACCTCCGATATCAGTCGTACCAAAGTTTACATGTCAATATCACAACACACTTTAAATATTGTTATACACTGGTAAAAAAACAGCTTTCAATTTGAAATAGATGTAAATTGGCATATTAATATGTTACAGTCCAACGTTAGAATAAAGACGGCGATATTCGTCACTTTAGTTCAAAGGTAGAATTTTTTATTTTCTCTGTAACATTGTCTCTTTTTTTTAAAGAAAATAAACTGTGGTTCTATTCAAATAAGAATCAGCTTTAGATTAATGACTTGTTTCAAAAATTAAACTCATTGAAAGTAAGTAGTTATGATTCCTTTCAACTCCTTTTGCTTCCATTTTTTGTTAATATCGATCTTTGTTCAAACAAAAGCCGAAAATGTCGGCATTACAAAGGAAGCACGCTCTCTTTCCCTCTTCTCATATTTAGCCTTTTTTTTGAAGTCTTGTATCACGTGGAGACATTGAGGCAGGTCCTACTCGTCTCCGTATCTTCCGCATATCCAGAGCAACTCTAAAAATCTGGAGAGCACTCATCCGTTGCCGCGAGCCGGGCACTATAGCGATTATTAAAAATGCGCTAGGGTTGCACGAGCCCGGCCTCACGAATTTTCTTTGACGAGGGTCAAATTTTTTAGAAGGACCCCTGGATTTAGATGAGCCGGCTCTATGGTGCACGCGAGGGCCGCTTATCGAGGACTTAAATCTCTTTGCGATGCACGAAGAGACAGACCTCTCCGAAAAATTAGTCCTTCTCGACTCGAGACTCGTCCTGTCTGTTTTTCGAAAGGGTGGATTCATTAAATTAGGGATTTCTTCGTTGCGACGTTGGCATCGGATTTGGCAGAGGACAAGTGTGTCTTTACGGAGCTTAAGTAAGACGAGATTCGATGGCAAAAGCGTCTTTCAAAGACGTTCGTTTCTCTATCGTCTTTCAGGATGAGACGCTTTATAGGAGTTACGTTTTAGAGTTTTAGACGGACTAAGAAGTAAGGACAGCTATAGATTATTCTAAGTTTGAAAATATTTAGCTTCACTAGTCGATATTGTAAATTAATGCTGATATATGTCATTTTTTAATTGCGACTGGAGATTTATGATGAAAATACTTAGTTATGATTCCTTTCAACTCATTTTGCTTCCACTTTTTGTCAATATGGATCTTTGTTCAAACAAAAGCAGAAAATGTCGGCATCACAAAGGAAGCCCTTCTGGACTGGAGAATTATAAAATTCCATTTATAGGTATATAAACTTTAAAATTAAATAAAACTGATATTCAGCAAACAGCAAACAATGTAGTTTTTGAAATCAGTTGCAATGATACAGAAAGATGAAAAATATAGGATTTGCCATTAGGTTGATTAAAATGACAACTAACTCCTCAGTAGTTTTTAGATTTTAGACAAGTCTGCTTAAAAAATATACCTATTTGATATTTCGGGAGTTTTATCTACCACTATTGTCAAAACCAAAAATACTAACAAAAAAAAAAAAAATTGCAATATTTAATTATTTCTAGAATACTTATTTAGTTCACATTGGTAAAAAAACAGCTTTCTATTTGAAATAGATGTAAATACGCGTATTAGATCAAATATGCTACTACTGTTGTGGAGCAAACGTTTCTCTCTTCCATTCGTTTTTTTTTGCTCTACATTAACCATTTTAAATAATTATAAAATGTCTGGAGAACAGAAGAATAAACAAAAATAAATAAAAACTTGAAAATTTTAAATTGCTTTACTTTAACATTGTTACAAACAACGTAATTCCGTTTAACAAGAGAATTAACACCTTCTTACGCCATACATTTCCAAACACCATCTACAAAGAAAAGTAAAATATTACTAAAACATTAAACCTTATCATTGGTGCCTTAAAGCCACACCATAACGCTCGACCCATTACAGTTACAACAATAAATCTCAATAGCATCATTACGATGTAATTATTTTTAGAGCGTCTTTTTGCTCTTGTACCCCCTAGGTACCGAAGTCTCATGCATATTTATCTTCTCCAACGTTAAGATCGTATAAAGTAAATTACAACGAGAGGAGAAAAAACTGGCGGTTTAGAAACAGCCGTAGCGGTACTTCCATTTTTACTCGATTCCCGGGGAATAGAAGTTTCGGGAAAGGCAAGAAGACGAGAGAATAACGTTGGAAAAAAAAAACACGAAATCTTTCAGTTGACCCGTATCTCGACCTCAATAAAGAGGGTCAATGGGGACGTAATTTATTAAAAGGCGGTGTAAAAAGATCTCTGGAAATTGAACGAGATTTATTTGGCTAATGCGGATTTTGAATAAGGTTTATCTAACTATACCCGAATCATTTAGAACAAAATCGGAGCTAAAGGTAGAGGACCAAAGATCGATATTACAATTTAAACAAAATTTTAATAATGTCTCATACTTATACAGTTCTTTTTATATTGCATTAAACAAAAATTAAAGCCATTAAATATTTTAGAGATGATAAATAGTTCTTTACTACTCAAGTTTCAAACCGCTTTAAGTTTATAAGCTCAAAAAGTTATCGGAAAACCGAAAAAGTTATCTGAAACAATAAACTTATTAAACTTATTACATTCAATAAAAACATTCTCGTTCTAGGTAGATAGTTTAGATATTCTGGATAGATTTCTTGTACTTCTAGCCGACAAAGGTTATAAAAAACAAACTTGTTTGTCAGTAAAGAACAGAAAAGATATTTTTGTTCATAGATCCAAAAACGATAGTCCAGTGAGTCAAGTCTCGGCGTAATTCGTCGACTTTGACTTTTTAGGCGGATTCACACTATGCTCGGTCAGCTTTGGCCGAAAATATGGCTCCAAATGGCCTAAAAATCGGGTTTTCGGAAATATCTGCCAAAATATGCAATTTACAAAAATTTTCTTAGAATAAAAATGAAGCTTAGGTCATTATCTACAAAAAACAATTGTACTTCTTTACGTAAAGTCCCAGGATATCGGTTAAAAACGGCCCTAAAAGTCAACGGCCGGGTTTTCAACCAATATTTGCCGAAATAGGGCATGTAGATGATTTTCATGGTTGCCAAATGGAAGAAACGGAAAAAATACCATTGGAAAGGCAAAGAATTAAGCTTTCCATTAATGTAAAATAGAAACTAATTCGACTATTCGTAATTATGTAATTTTCTTTTGTTTACGACACTTTCCGGAAATCCTAAAAAAGGGGGAAAAGCCACTCACGATATGTTTTTTTTATTAAAATGAGACTAAACAAATACTGAGTTGCTTAAAGAGACTCTAAGAAAAACTGTTAAAAAATCTTGACAAATAAGCATGATTAGTGAAAATATGACTAAGTTTGCAAAAATCTGAAAATTGTTGGGCTAAGGTATGTTTGCCCGGTATTTTTAATATCATAAAATCTGACAAAATTCAAACAAGTTCCAAAATGTGATAGCTGTTGATTCTACCTTTTAAATTAACTTTGGATTATCAAAAAATATTAAATTTTAACTGAGTTATTAAACAATTTGTTTTATCAATCAATGATACGCTTATAAAATCTATCTTCGGAGCGTTAAGACTTGGAAATTCAGAGATTTTTAATTACTAATTCTAAGTAAAAAATGATAAGGATCTTTTTTGTAAATAACCTAAGCTTGATTTGTTTCATTCATTTCATTGCATTTTCTTCCAAGATAAATTTTGTAAATGGCATATTTTGGCAGATATTTGCGAAAAATTGATTTTTGGGTCATTGGGGACCATTTTTTGCCGAGCACGGTATTTTCCCCTAAAGGATACTCAATCCGCCTGAAAAGTCCCGGTCGCATATTTGTAAACGACGTCCATGATCGCGATTCGGTTCTAGGCCGAACGATATCGCGTAAACAGCATACTAGATCGCAAATCCGTCTGGTAAATTGCATCCGTGATTCCAAATTTTAACTGGCGATGGTAACTAACTTTGGTGCTGTTGAGTCATAAAAATTTCGATTATTATAGAGGACTATAAAGTAAAACCTAAAATTGTGTCGAAAAATCAACAGAAAATAGATTCCCAGATGACACTATTTTATGTTCATCCAACTTACATACGTATACAAATTACTTAAAACAAAACAGAGATATAATCTCGGATATAATATATTTTCCATAGAACTCAATATAAATTTATAATACCTAACTTTTCTTAAAAGAAAGATGTGTCCTTAACTATGAAAAATATTCAAGAAGGAACTAATTTACAATCTTCTTGATCTTCTTCTATCTACTTCTATCTACTAGAAAAAGACAAACTTTATCTCCAAAGAAA